TTTTTCGAGAAAGGATTTTGTAAACATTTTTCTAGTGTTTTGATGTTTAGGAGAGATAAGACCTTTTTGGGATTTCAATATTTTTTTGTCACTCTGTGATTCTTTTATGTCTTAGCTTTCTCTTCTATAACTAATATTCTAGTTTAATTATTCAGAGGTTTACATGTTTTAGTGGATTAGATCCTTGGTTAACTTTGCAGTTGGTACTATGATACTGACATTTTGTTTTTATGTTTATTTAGATTTATCTTTTGTTTTTGCTAATTTGAAGGTTGTGGTTTGTCTTTGATGCTGTAAATTAAGAATGAAGACTCACAGTTTAGAAATAGAAAATGTTGTTACTTTTGCTTATACATTTTCATGCCATTATTTTAAGAAAATCTAGCAATGCAAAAGTGATCTTATCCTTTTATAAATATGATGTTTATTGTATTGTGTTAGAAAAATGATGACGTTCTGTATCTCTATTCATATTTGGCAGAAGTGAAGTTGTTTCTAAGATATATCAGGTGGCAATAGGCAACTTCATTATGCATGCAAGGGAAAATGATACCATGCCGTTTACGTGGTTTTGAAAACGGCACCCTACCATTTTAATGAGATTAACAAGAATAAATTATCATTTTCACTCCAATACTTTCCACATTAGTTAACGAAACTTTCAAAATGAAAATTCAACAATCAGACAATTTGCTTTTTACTTTTTAGTTATTGTCATCCACAAATTATAATTTTTATTTACAGTTATTAGAGTTTGAGTTAATTTTGTACTTAGTGTAGTGTAGTTACTCAAGAGACAAGTGTGTTGTTACTCACACATGTTCAAACATAGGAAATAATTGATTTCATTTTTTTTATAAAGATATGTGTGAACATAAAGTGAAACGGACAAGGATTTAGTTGAAATGACACCCAGCTATTTAAAATGACAAAATGTCGTATGGGTTTACAATATCTCAATTTCATTCCAAATGCAACGAAAACTTGCATTCATTTATTTTCATGTGAATACAGGTGAAAATAAAGAGAAATAGACATGGTATTAGAAGAAATGGCACTTAATCGTTTTGAAATGACAAGAAAGACTTTTACAAGTTAAAAAAGCTAATTTATTGAGTATCTTAACTCATAATAAAATATAATGGAATTTTAGTTCCTTATCATCTTTTGCAGTAAAGTCTAGTGTAATTTTCTCACGATGGGTCTCGATTTCACTACTAAACAAATATTGGAACATGTTGTGTTTTGTATACCTAAACGACAGTCATACTTGTAAAATGATAACGTGTTTTGGGTAACAGGTTCTCGATTTCACTTGTACATTACAGTGCTATGTTTTTGTAAACTCTGCCTCCTAAATGGCATCCCTATGTATAAAACGATAACATGCCGTTTTATTTTAGGAAGTCTCGATTTCACTTCAAAACTAGTAAAATAGTGTTTCGAACATCATACAAAACTTGAACAAACAGAACCATTAAAATTTATTAGAAAACAACACAATTTAAATATTAAATTTAATAATTACATCAATATATCCATCAAAAGTGCCTATCCATACATAACAATTTGTCAAAACCATCAAAATGTATCAAAAACCATCACAATTTCAAGTTGATGGAATTCAACTTTACTTGTCTTTTTTCCCTCTCATGTTGATAGAAGTCAACTTTTTTTACGTCTACTTTGTATTTGATTCATAATCGTGTGAACTTTCATATCGACCTTGGTATTCAAATGTAGTAAAAATATGCATTTGTTCATGTCATATGGATACGAGTAAATATAAAGTTAAACGAATATAAAAATAGTTGAAAAGACACAACCATCTAAAATGACATCATGCCATTTTACGTCATAAATAACTTGTTCGGGTTGAATGAGAAAAAATGATGTGAAATGAACATTGAACTAGAAAAAAATGCAGTCATACGACTAAAATGTTCACGTGCATTTGAGGTGACAGGTTGATTTTAGTACGAAACGTGCTATATTTTGTATACCCTAAACTGCAGTCATACTTGTGAAACGATCACATGTCGTTCTGGGTAGTGGGTTCAGATTTCACTTATAGATGTTGAATGTTACACGTTCAATATTTTTTTATACCCTATACCCTAAATGGCATCCCTATGAGTAAAATGATAGTATGTTGTTTTGAGTCAAAGGTTCCCAATTTCACTCCAAAATTAGTAAAACAATGTTTGGAATATCATCCAAGGCTATAAATATTGAAAAATTAAACACAACCACACATTTAAACCATACACCCTAAACCCTATACCATAAACGATAACCATACGTTTAAAACGATCATATGTTATTTTGGGTAACAAGATATCGATTTCATTTCGAAACTAGTAAAACAGTGTTTGAGACATTATACATGTCTTGTATATATTGAACGACTACACATGCGATGTTTTGCATACCATACTTGTGACTTATGTTTTTCTTTATTATTAAGTTTAGTGTAATATAGTTTCCAACTAATTATAAAGTGACTCACTATAGTTTGAAGCAATGTGTCAACAAAATGTAGTTCAAACTTTTATCCTTAAACTTTCAAGTGGTTATGGGCGTGAATAAATCAAAATGAACACAAAATGAGTAGAAACATCACTCGTACGTTTTAAATGACCAGATGCATTTTTGAGTCACGAGGTATCGATTTCACTCTGAAACTAGTAAAATAGTGTTTGAAATATCATACATGACCTATACACATTGAACTACTGCACGTGCTATGTGTTGCATACTATACTTGTTACTTACGTTTTTCTTTATTGTTAAGTGTAGTGTAGTTTCCAATCAGATTATAGAATGACTTGCTATAGTTTTAATCAATGCGTCGACGCTAATGTTGAAATGTAGTTGAAACTTTCATTCTTAAATTTTGAAGTGGTTATAGACATGAATAATCCAAAAGAAAGACTTTTACAAGTTAAACGAACTAACTTCGGAATTGGAGTTCTTTATCTTCATTTGCAGTAAAGTTTAGTATAATTTTTTTATGAAACAATATTGTTGGTCACTATCGCGTGAACTTTATATTTATACTCAGGTCCAAATGTATAGAAAACTTCCACTCGCTCATTGTCATATGCATACGTGTGAAAATAAAGTGAAGCAAATATGAAATTAGTTGGAATGACACTCAATAGTTTAAAATGGTAGCGTTTTAGATTGCGGGTTTTCGATATCCAAATGTAGTAAAAACTTCCATCCGTTCATTTCATATGGATACGAGTGAACATAAAGTGAAATGAATACAAAAATAGTTGAAACAATACCTAACTTTTCATTAATATCATACTGTTTTGGATCACGGGCTTGGATTTCACTCTAAAACAAGTCGATAAGACTTGGAACATTTTAAACAACTTATACAAGTTAAACGAGCCAACTTGTTGAATATCTTATCTCATAATTAGAATATAATGGAATTTACATACTTTCGTTCATAGTTAAATTTAATACAGTTTACTCGTAGAACAATAGTGTTGGTCATTATCGCGTGAACTTTATGTCAATACTCAAAACAAATATAATGAAAACCTCCATTCATTCATTTTCATATGCATATAAGTGAAAATAAAGTGAAACGGATACAAAATTAGTAGAAATGACACCCAATCATTTAAAACGGCATCATGACATTTTTTATTATAGGGTCTCGATTTCACTCCAAAACGAATCAATCATGTCTTGGAATATCATATAAGACTTACACAATTTAAATGAGCTAATTTGTAAAGTATTTTATCTCATAATTGGAATTTAAATTATTTAGCCTTTTAAAGACATCATGTTATTCTGGATGATGGGGCCTTGATATCACTATAAAACAAGTCGATTAGACTTGGAATATCTTAAAAAACATGTACAAGTTAAACGAGATAATTTATTAAATATCTTATCTCATAATTAGAATATAATCGAAATTAACTTATTTACGTTCGTAGTTATATCCAGTTCAGTTTATTCACAGAACAATAGTAGTGATCAATATCCTGTGAACTTTATATCGTTACTTGGGTTCAAATGTAATGAAAACTTTAATTCGTTCATTGTCATGTGCATACGAGTGAAAATAAAGTGAGACGGATGTGAAATTAGTTGAAACGACACCCAATCATTTAAAATGGCAGCATTACATTTTGGATTATGGAGTCTCAATTTCACTATAAATTAGTGAAAAATTGTTTACTTTAGTTAAAACGCCCTCAAATGGTTTATGATGATAGCACGTTGTTTTGGATCATGGACACTCAATAGCACTCGAAATATACTTAAAACTTGTTTTAATTAATTTTTACGTGGATATGAAGAAATATAAAATGATGCAAACGTGAAATTAGTTAAAACGGCGTTCAATCGTTTAAAAAGGCAGTATGCCATTTTTCCCATTGGTTTTAAAATGTGCAAGAAAAGATTGAATGAAAATGGGCATTTAAGTTTGGGAAATTTGGTAAATTTTTGTTTCAGATTGGATATTTTGAATATTTCAAATGAAAGGTGTTTAAGACTTTTAACACATAATAAAATAAACTAAAGGCTAGTTAACCAAAAAGTATTCACCATAGCCTATTTTACCAAACATTATAGTTGACTAGGCTTTTTAAACAAATCCCCCATCTGCAAATGTAAAAGAGTTACATTATTAACATGAATGCAAATAGTATTTCTTAAATGTGGATAAATGTTTTTCAAATAAACGAATTTAGTAAGGATAAAATTGCAATATAACGTGAGTGCAAATAGTATTTTTTTAAAATTTTAAAAATTTATTAGGGATGAACTTAGAGTGAGATATACTTATAAAAAATGTGGATGAAAATAGAGCTACCCTAGATAGATTCCATCCAGGTATCCTCCATCTGCCATGGTTATCAAAAGTTTGGGACCCCAATTGCAAAAACGAAAAGTTCGAATATACCCTGCAGTATTTTAAAATGTTTGGAAACCCAGCTGCAATTCTTCCTGTTTTCAGAATTAGATGAAACATTATAAATATTCTTTGGCATACAAAATATATAGTTTAAAAACGGAACCGAGAAATTTTTGCATAATCCATAACATCTGTAGTACATTAAACAAGCACATTGTTCCAATATAATAAAACTAATTCAGATAATAAAGGTCAAAACCAGGAGGCACCACGGCAGCATGACATATAAAATCCCATAACTAATACTCGAGAAAAACTAAGCTCCGAAGCCTAATAATTGAGCAGTATCAAGAAGATTTTAAGTGCGGGCAGCAGTTGGTGGTCCACCTGGGCGCGGTGCTTGACCAGCCTTTGGGTGATCATCCTGAAAAATTAGAGAGGAAAAGTCAGGCTTGTGGAAGAATGGAAGCCACACTATTGAGATATAAACAGTGGAACAAAATGTCACCAACAGCTGAGATGAAAAATGAGATTTGAACAGATATGGAAAAATAAAAATGGGCACAGAAACCTCCACTTTCCAGAAGTAAATTGATAGGGTAGTCAACCAAAAGTGGAATATTATATATTGAAGTTGAACCAACCCACCCCACCCTAATCTGAAGGTAGGAGTTTGGTACAGGGTAGCGTTTGTTAGGATGGAAGGGTTAAACCATTTCCAAGTCATAACAGATGTCACTCCATGGGACTAAAACCCTTAGTTCCAAAGGTTTCCTCAATACACTGTGTGGAGCTTTGAAAGCCATACTAAAGTGTATAGACACATAATTTAGTCCCATTGAAAAATTACATCTCAGAGTTCTCAGTCCTTTCTAACATAAATTCTTTGCTTCTATAATTTGTTACAAATGCCCTCAGAAGTTGTATTACAAATTTGTACAAAGCCACCAATAAAAACTGTAGCACGTTAATGTATGCAAAGAGCAAAAACAACTCTAACAAACAGAAAATAACAGATCAAAAGCTAATAGGGAAACTAGAGATGGAATCACTAACCCTTGGGCGCCTGAATCGCTGTGGAGGCTCACGGTTCCTCCTATCAGTACGTGAGCGCACCCTGACAACTTTGGAGTGAATGGCACATGAGACACAGTACTGCATCTTCACGTAAAGCTTGGGAAGGGTGTACACTTAATTTTAACAACAAAAACATTAATTAGTTTATAATTATTAAAGAGTTGTTTCTTGTAATTTTATATAAGTAACAGCGTATACTAATAAGTTAAATCCACTAAACAACTTACTATCAAAAGCACAAGCTTCCTGGACATCCCTTACGGCAGCTTGCTCAACAATGTTCCTTACCAGAAATCTCTTGATTGCTTTGTCCTAGGAAAGTTACAAAATCATTTGATGAATCAGAAACACATTCCAACCTTTTTAGCAATAAAAAAAAAAATCTTACAAATGAAGTCCACCTTTTTGGAAATAAAAAAAATCAGACAATTGTATAAAAACCAGATCCTTCAATAACTCAAAAACCCTCTGGCACTAGATTTGAGGGAGTAAATCTCTCATCAAAATTACAGTGACTCCAATGTTCTTTAATCAAATAGAAGGCAACAACAACATTGTTTGACTGCACCTGTATGGAGAATCTATAAATGATACATATCTATGTATTTCCATTAACAAGCAGAAGCATGATATGAACACAACCAAGTCCAAAACGCAGACATTTCTATACTGTGTTTCTTCCATCATTTATTTCAGCAGGCATTCCATAACGTGTACAAGACATGTACATATTAGCACACAAAACCACCAGCCAATTATTCAAATATCTGCAGTGGGCCTTAAAATACATTCCAATATCATATAAACACTTATTGGATTGAAAGTAGATACAAAGACGAAGTTTTGCAATTCATTCAGAGTAAAGTTTTATTCTGCATTAGATAATTAGGAACTACAAAGTACAATTAACAAACACTGAATAAAAGCAACCACCAGCCAAGCACCCTCATGATAAGGTATTCATCATTTAGACAATCTTTCCCTCTAAAGATTTAACATTAGCCGCAGTTTCTTTCAAATAGCACGAAGGAAACTACATACAACCAGATCCACCGGCACTTACAGATCTATGCTAAACTACCTAAAATTATCCGATGCGGCTACAATATTTCTACACAAACAGAACATTTATACAAAATCAATTTAAAATAAAAGCACCTTCGGGCAGCACTTGCCGCAGTTGGAGCAGCGGATGAAATTGACATGCCCACGGCCATGCTTGTTCCTCCCTCCATTCCTTCTCTTGAACGTCTATAATTTCAAAAAACAAAGCATAATAAACTATAAAAATGAAATCACGAAGTAAATATATTACAAAAATGAACATATGATCAATAAAGACTCCATGAATGAGATTTTAGAGAAAAATTTTACCATCGTTGGTTTGGTATTGCACTCTGGGAGCAAACGGCTCTGCAAGCAGCTAACGTTTAGGGTTTGGTATTAGGATGGTAAAGGAATGGTTTTTGATAATTTATATAGGGCTTTATTCTGAAGCCCTAGTCGCCCTCGTGTTGCGGAGCCCATTGGGCTTGGCAATAAATAATTTGGGTTGGGCTTCAGGTCCAGGTATTGGCCCACATAAAACACTCTGGTGATATTGGCCCATATACTAAAGTTGTCATGTTTAGCGTTTCCTTCACTCAAGCCAAAGTTTGGTGGGTATTAAAATCAATTTTTTAGTAGATTTTCATAAAAATTAATGAAATGCATAGTTGAAAATTGTAAACCTCATAAAATATGTGATTAAAATTAATTATTAATTTAGATTTAGATTTAGATTAAGATCTGAATTTAAGTCATTACCAAACAAGTGTTAAATATACTTAAACAAATTATGATCGAATTGCCTTTGCACATATATCAAATTACGTGGGAGGACATTCACCAATTTGAACTTCTATAGAGCCATCTTTCAATATAAACCTATTACATACAAAGTGAGCCCATCTACCTACATTCTTTGCTCGAATTTGACTCCAATTTTTTAAAACTTATTTTCAACAACACATTTCATAAAATTCACAATTTTTATCAACTTTTTCTTCACACATTTCATCATCTTTTATTAAAATCTCCTATTAATCTAATTTTTAACTAAACCAAACAGAGGCTTTATATAATCACGTACATCATTTACATATGTTTTCAATGCACTATTGATGCGAGTAATTGAGTATTGATCCTGTTGGAAAAAAAAAACTGAGTTATGGGCTGACTTTGGCATGAGTTTTGAGTGGGACCCGGTTGTTCAATTTGGAAGATGAAAGTTGATTTGTGTTCTCCTCCGTGAGTACATCGAAATCATATACTTACTTGCCAAAGATGATGCTCGGGTGAATGAGAAATTGAGGCTCAAAGTGTGCCACTCAAAAGGGAGTTTAGGTGGGAAAAATGAATTTGTCCCACATAGGAAAAAGATGAGAAACTCAAAAGGTCATTGCCATTAATGGTAGCCTAACCTATAAATAGTGGCACATTTTTCTCATTTCAATATACCAAAGCAAAAGCTTTCAAGTTTAGAATACACAAGAAATTCATTTGCATAGAATTTTGTCTTTTCTGCATTTCTATTTTGGTGGCGGTGTAGTTCAGGCACTAGTTTAGTTCGTCGGAGTGGTTTCTGCGGTGCTCGGAAGCTACTGATTTTAACGTTGTATTCAGGGAAACGGACGCTCGTTTTAAATCTCAAGTACGACGGTGAGGGGGTGAATCTGTTTTAAGAAAACTGTGTGTAACACAGGCCTCGACTTGAAATTTCATTTCCTGCAATTTCAATTATTCGTTCTGTTATTTATTGCAGTAAATTCAATAGTTGATTTGTTGTTCATTCTGTTATTATCCAATTAGTTGTACGACTATAACTTGCTGTTATATATCATCTTACCGAATAAAAAGCATATACGGTATTGAAATCAGGAATACCGGATTCCTCATTTTTCATAAACCGACCAAACTAGTGAAACTTGGGATTTTTCCTACAAGCTTAAAATAGATTTTCAGAAAGGAACATTTAGTTTCCTATATTGATTATTTCTGAACTGATTAGTTTTTTATATTTGTTATATTGTGGAAACTAATTTGTTTTTGGTTCTTTCAGAAGAGAAATGGCAATCGGTTCCACCAACATGGATTCCAACATGGATGTGTCACAAGCTGTAGGTACCTAAACTCAGGCTGTGGGTTCTACTATTGGTACAGGGGCTAGTTCAACTATGGGTGCAGCTTGGCTGCAGGGCCTAGCTCTGTTGTGGCTCAGACTGTGGCTCAAGTGACAAGTCGTGTTGTGAGCCAACATGTGGCTAATGTTCCGATTAATGTACCGGTTAACCATGGGGAAAAGTCGGAGAAATTCAACGGCTTGAATTTCAAGAGGTGGCAGCAGAAAATGTTGTTCCATCTGACCACCTTGAATCTTGCGAGATTCTTGACTGAAAGTGCTCCAAACTCCAAGAAGGTGAGGTGGATGTTCAAACAATCAGTGTTGTTGATGCTTGGAACCACTCGGACTTCTTATGCCGGAATTACGTCATGAACAGTTTGGCAGATTCGCTATACGTATATAGCACCATGAAAACTATTAAGGAGTTGTGGGAGTCTTTGGACTGGAAATATAAGACTGAGGGTGTCGGGGCTAAGAAATTTATCGTCGGCCGATTCTTGGACTATAAGATGGTGGACTCCAAAACTGTAATCAGTCAAGTGCAAGAACTCCAAGTGATTCTTCACGAAATTTATGCCGAAGGGATGATTCTGAGTGAAACTTTCCAAGTGGCTGTAATCATTGAAAAATTGTCTCCCGCGTGGAAAGATTCCAAAAATTATCTAAAACACAAGCGAAAGGAAATGAACGTTAAAGAACTGATTGTGAGACTTCGAATTGAAGAAGACAACAAGAGTTCCGAAAAGAAGTGGTTCAATCCTGGTGCGGCTAAGGCCAATATTGTTGAACATGGTCAAGGTAGTAAGAACTACAAAACCAAAGCCGGGCCATCCGGTGGAAAAGAGATCAAGCTGGGACCAAAAGGGGGCATTTCTAAGAAGAAATTTCAAGGGAAGTGCTTCAACTGTGACAAAGTAGGCCACAAATCTTCGGAGTGCAGATTGCCAAAGAAGAAGAAAGAAGCAAATGTAGTTGACTACATGGCACATGATGTGTCGGAGATGAGTCTCGCAGCAGTCATTTCTAAAGTGAACATGGTGGGTTCTAACCCAAAAGAATGGTGGATTAACACCTGAGCTATGAGATATATGTGCTCTGATAAAGAGTTATTTACTGCTTTTGAAGCAGTTGAGAATGGAGAGAAGTTGTTCATGGAAAATTCAGCAACTTCTGAAATCAAAGGCCAAGGAAAAGTGGTTCTGAAGATGACTTTGGGAAAAGAGTTGACTCTCAACAACGTGCTGTATGTGGCGGAAATCCGCAAGAACCTTGTGTCCGGGTTGCTTTTGAATAAGCATGGTTTTCGCATTGTGTTTGAGTCAAACAAGGTCATCTTGTCGAAAAGTGAAATGTTTGTCAGAAAAGATTATGTTTCCAATGGAATGTTTAAACTCAATGTAATGGTTGTTAAACCAAAAATGAATAATAAAATGAATGCTTCTGTTTACTTGCTTGAGTCTTCCAATGTGTAGCATGGTAGATTAGGACACGTTAACTATGATACTTTACGTAGGCTAGTTAACTTGAAATGCATACCAGCATTCCATGTTGATTCCAAACATAAGTGTAAGACTTGTGTTGAAGCAAAATTGACTAGGACGTCCTTTAAGTCAATTGAATGAAATACGAAATCACTTGATGTAATTCACAGTGATATATGTGATTTAAAATTTGTACAAACAAAAGGTGGCAACAAGTATTTCATTACTTTTATCGACGATAGCACGAAATACTACTATGTGTATTTGCTAAAAGCAAGGATGAAGCAATAGAGAAATTTGTTCTCTATAAGAATGAAGTTGAAAATCAACTTAACAAGAAAATTAAGGTGCTAAAAAGCGATCGAGGTGGTGAGTATGAAGCACCGTTTGCTGAATTCTGTGTACAACACGGAATCATACATGAAACCACCACACCATATTCACCGCAACAAAATAGTGTTGCTGAAAGGAAAAATCGCACCTTAAAGGAGATGATGAATGTGATGCTAGTAAGTTTTGGATTACCTCAGAACATGTGGGGAGATGCTGTGTTATCAGCAAATTATCTTTTCAATAAAGTGCCCCGAAAGAAAATGGAGAAGACCCCTTATGAGTTATGGAAAGGAAAAACGCCTTTCTATAAATACTTACGAGTATGGAAGTGTCTTGCTAAAGTGGTTGTCCCAACATCGAAGAAGGTGAAGACAGGCCCGAAAACTGTAGACTGCATATTCATTGGATATACACATAACAGTAGTGTTTATCGATTTCTCGTGTATGAATCTAAAATCCAAGATATACACAGAAACACGATAATGAAATCGAGAAACGCTTCGTTCTTTGAACATGTGTTCCATGCAGGTCCGAAGAAGAGGCAAGTTCTTCTAAACGGACGTATGAGACTATGACTGAACATAGTCAGGACTATGAACCAGAAGAGGAGGTTGAGGTTGAACCTAGACGTAACAAAAGGGAAAGGACAGAAAAATCTTATGGTCCGAATTTTCTGACCTATATACTAGAAAGTAAACCTCAAAACTATCAAGAGGCTGTGAACTCCTTGGAAGGACCTCAATAGAAAGAGGTCATTAAAAGTGAAATAGATTCTATCCTACAAAATCATACATGGGAGCTAGTGGATCTTCCACCAGGAAGTAAACCACTAGGCTGCAAGTGGATTTTCAAATGAAAAATAAAAGCAGATGGAACTATTGAAAAGTATAAGGCCAGGTTAGTAATAAAAGGTTACCGACAACGGGAAGGCCTTGATTACTTTGATACATATTCTCCAGTAACGAGAATAACATCCATTAGAACGATATTTGCGATTGCTGCTTTGCGAAATCTTAAAATACATCAAATGGATGTTAAGACTGCCTTCTTGAACGGAGACTTAAATGAAGAAATCTATATGGAACAACCCGAAGGGTTTTTGTCTCCAGGGCAGGAAAAAAGGTGTGTAAATTGGTGAAGTCATTATATGACTTGAAACAAGCACCAAAACAATGGCATGAGAAATTTGACAGTGTCATGATGGAGAGTGGATTTAAAATCAACGAGTGTGATAAATGTGTTTACGTTAAAGACACTGAAAATGACTATGTCATTTTATGTCTTTACGTTGATGACATGCTTATTGTTGGCAGCAACGATAAGGTGATCAAATCCACTAAAACCATGTTAAATTCGAGATTTAACATGAAAGACATGGGTCTAGCTGATATTATACTTGGAATCAAAATTTCAAGAATGTCGGATGGTCTTATTCTAAGTTAGTCACATTATGTGGACAAAATCCTAGGAAAGTTCA